GGCACAGCGCACGTGTTCAGGGCAGGGGTGGGCGTGAACTTGAATTGGATCACCTAGCCAGGTAAATTCAATTCAGCCAATGGGGTCGACCAGGGGTCTTCCACCACGCCTCCCTGTGGAATCCTTGAAAAGGCAGAAGCCCAGAGGAGAGGGGATCTTAGAACAAGGACAAGAACCGAGACGGGAGGAGAACTTAGAACGGAGGAGAGAGAACTCAGGCACAGAGAGCTTTGGCACGCGTTGCGGGACTCAGAGCCGCTTCCAGCTAGGCCGCATGTCCGGGAGGAGCCCCTTGGGTGCCGTGTAAACCTGAAACTTCTTCTAACTTTCATAAAACTCACTTCGATCACGAACCAGGCTTCGGCGTGAATTCTTTCTCGCGCGGAGCCAAGGACCAAGGTATAAATCTAGCTCCAGAGAGATCTAACAGATCTGGGATCCAGTCTTTCTGGAACCAAGGGGGCTGGATCAACCCTGAAACCATTGCCCTGAGGTCACCTTTAAGCCTTAAACTAAAAAAAAAAAAAAAAGGAGTGGGGGAGGTTTTTCCTTGAGCATAAAACGTTTAAGAACTATGTCAGTGGTTCTCAACCTGTGGGTCGCGACCCCTTTGGGGGCGAACGACCCTTTCACAGGGGTGCCCCGATTCATCACAGTAGCAAAATGACAGTGACGAAGCAGCAACGGAAATAATTAGATGGCTGGGGGGTCAGCAATACATGAGGAACTGCATGGAAGGGCCGTGGCATAGGAAGGTTGAGAACCGCTGGTCTAGGTGGAAACACAAAGTGTCCTGGCAGAGAAGTGCCTTCTGCGTTGGGCTGCTAGCTATGGGTCAGCAGTGGAAGCCCGTCAGCTTCTCTGAGAAAGGAAGATGGGGCCGTCCGCTCCTATAAGAATGCACAGCCTCAGAGACCCACAGGCGCAGTTTTACCCTGTCCTGCATGCTCCCGCAGGGTCAGAATATTGCGTCCACAGCAGGGAGTTTCCTTTTTGGTCTCTATGGGACCGAAGCGACCAGAGCAACCCGAAAGGTTAGATAAGCACCTCAGAGGGAGGGAGTTTATGTCCGTGGCGGGGGAACGACGGAAAAGGGAGGGTGAGAACCCCTGCGTGGCCTGAAGACCATCATCAGTGTCCCCCCAACAGCACATGCGGAAATGGTCGCGTGCCTGTTGGGCTCCGCAACATAGCCTCTGCACCACAGAATGAATTGAAAAACGCACAAGAAAGGAAGCCCCCCTGGGAACCTGGTTGGGGCCAGGTCAGTCCTGAGAGCTCCTCCTGTCCCCGGCCCTGTGCCAACTGGATCCTTTCCTTGCACAACCTCATCTGGTCCTGGGGGACCAGGCTTTTAGATTCTTAAAGATGGGAAGCCAGAGACCCAGAGAGGGAATGAACCGCAATCGGACTGCCTCCTGGGCCCCAATCCTCCTCCTGCAGTACCCTCTGCTCTCTCCTGGGGCCACCCCCTGGCCCCCAACTGCTCTTGGCTCTGTGGACAGTCTGCAAGAGCCCTCAAGGTCAGCCTGGCGCTGAGTCATCGGATGGGTTCACTGCCTGCCCAGCCCACGGGCCCAGACCTTGGACAGGGATGGATTTCTCAGAGGCCAATGGAGAGCGTCACCTTTCCTGTGGTCTGAGAGGCTACAGGAAGGAGGGTGGACAGAGATCAGAGGGCCTGAGCAGACTCTGGGTGGGGTTGCTTGGTGACTGCGTGACCCTGGGCTGTGATTTCCTCATGGGCAAGAGGACAAGGGAGCCCCTCCCAGGAGGGCTGTTGGAAGGAGGGAGAAGACAACCACAGGCCCAGAGTGCGTGTCCTCGGGTCTCAAAGGGTGGCCTGGGGAGTTCCCAGGCAGCTCCCGGGACCTTCCAGAGCCCTAGGGAGGTCACAGGGATTCCTATGAAAAATGCTAAGATGTCACGTGCCGTCAGCCTCTCATCCTCTCCCGAGGGCAGGATGGCGTGTCTCAGGGACCCGGGACCTGGGCTCTTGGAGCAGCGGCAGGCAGACGCAGGAGCAGATCTGAGACTCCAGCCAGACAGGAGCGGCCACACGGAAAAGCGAGGCCAGCCTTCCTGCTGTTTGCTTGGGGGGCACGCAATTATTCTTCATTAAAAAAAAAAAAAAGGCTGTGTGTCTCCTATACATGAAGGGCTTACTCTTGTTATTGTTTTAAGGGACTGAAACGTTAAGGCTGTCTCTGGGTTCGTTTTTAATACAACGAACACTGATTGGGATGAGCCATGGGAAGGGGAACGGAAGTTCTTTGGGGGCCCCAGTGTTTCCTGGAACCAGCAATCCTGGGAGACAACACTGACATTCTTCCCGGTTCCATGCGTCTGGGATCCACCCCTGACACTCAAGTAGGCAGCAGTCAAGAGAGCAAGAGAGCACCAGGCACATCTGCCGTGAACGACCTCTTCAAAGTGTTAAGGGACAAAGACGTCCCTTTGATGTGCAGCGGACTCAGGCCACGCTGTTTCCCATCATCTTACATGCATGGGATGGGAGCCCTGGTGGCGTGGGGGTTTCTCAGTGGACTGTGATCCCCAAGGTCAGCAGCTGGAAATCACTGACCGCTCCTCGGAACAAAGAATGGGCTTTCTACTCCTCACGGTGGCATCGACTCGATGGCAAGGAGGGCTTTTTGGTTTAGTCTCGTTGTTGTTGTGCTAATGCATACGCAGCCAGGCAATGAACCAGGAAGACTGAAGAAGCGCTAGGCGCCCTGGTGGCAGAGTGAGTTATGCACTGGCGGCTCATGACAAGGCGGGTGGTTCCAATCCACCAGCCACTCCGAGGGAGAAAGATGAGGTTTTCTACTCCCATAAAGATTTACAGCTTTGGACACCCTAAGGGGAAGTTCTACTCTTATAAGGTCATTAAAAGTCCGAATCAACTCGAGAGCTGTGATTCTGGTTTGAGGGCTTGTTTTAAGGAGAATCGATGCTTTCGAATGACCGTGATGGCAAAGAGCACGGAATGTGCCACGAGCTGCCAGAGCACAAACAAATCTGTCTCGGTGGAGGTGCGGAGAGCATGCTCCTTGGAAGAGAGGGTGCTGAGATTTCCTCTCACATACTCTGGACCAGCGGTTGGGTGGAGTCTATCCCTGGGGAAGGCCATAGCGCGTGGGAAAGTAAGAAGGTCAGTGGAGAGGAGGATGACCCTCCGTGAGAGGGACGGACACAGTGGCTGTCACAGTGGAGTCGGACCTGACAACCACTGTGAGGATGGCGTGTGGGGGAAGGTCAGATACTTGCTGCCAGATTGCTGTCTCATCCCACCACGGGGGTGGGCCTGCTCCCTGCCTCTGGAGACAATGGACAGGCTCCTGTAGGCGGAGTTTGCACCCTACTGATAATGGTTCCTATGGAGACCCAGAGACCACCTCCTAGACCACCCTCTCATTGCTGTGTAACCTATAGTGCAGCCCCTTCCTGTGACGTATGTCTCTACCTGTAATTAGTGGGCTGGCTTGCCCCCAAAAGGTATATAGGTGTGAGCCAGCAATATATCTCTCTCTCTCTGACTCTGAGCTCCTTGCTGCTCACTCCCTGGTCACTCCCCTCTCCCTTGTTCCCTTACCCTCCTTCCCTTCCCCCTCTCTCCACGTGGACCACCAAGCTGGGCTGAGGTGAGCAATGTTGCCATGTATCATGCCTGACTGTATTATTGTATTATCTCTCATGCTCTTGATGACTTTAATATAATACTTATATATCTCAACCGTACAATTGTGCATTACTGAACCCAGAAGTAGTATTACTGAACTCGTAGGAGTAGCAGCGGGTGGGGGCTGGTCCTCACCCTCCCTCCGCACCATTTTTTAATACTACAATGGTGCAGGCCCGGGCTGAGGTTCGTCCTGCAGGGCGCTGAGTTGGAGCCAACTCCGGCCACCAACACCAGCAACGGCGAGGAAGGAGTCCCGGAGATCAAAACACGTGAGCGCCGGGGTGCTGATCAAGTCGTGTGGTCCCTGGTGATCCCATTGTCATCTATTTACCCACAAAGACAGTGAGTGTGTGTGTGTGTGTGTGTGTGTGTGTGTGTGTGTGTCTGTTTTGCCCACCACTGAATCCCTGCACCTAGAACAGGGCCAGGCCCACAGGAGGTGCCCCATACACAGTGGATGCCCAAATGAAGGGGTACATACCACGTGGCCTGGTGGTGACTTGGTTGTTGCCGGACACCGTGCCACGTACTTCACCAGCAAACCCACGCAGGCAGTGTGGCATACAGGAGGGTCGACGAGGTCAAGGACCTCTGTCACTTGCTACCTGGGCAAGGCGGTTCCCTCCCGGAGCCTCAGTGTCCCACCGGTGAAAGGCGGCTCACCAGTTGGGGGCTCGTTCCTGGCATGCGCAGGCAGGTCGGGAGCAGCACCCAAGCTCTCACGGCCAGCCACGGGACAACAGCATGCCACGCTGGCTGTTGCATGGGGGCAGATGCCAAACTCGGGGTAGAGACAGGGTGGGCCCTGCTCCCTCAGAGCGCCCTGCTTTGCTGTGTGTCCTGGGGCCGGGAGCTTTGTGGACTGTGACTCTGTTCCCCCCTTGGTAAAATGAAGGGCCATCAACCCAGCACCCATCTCGTAGGGCTGCTGGGTGGAGTCGTGGAGGGCTCCACACCGAGGAGCCTGGTAGAGGAACGGCTCCGTGAAAATGGCTCGTATGGCTCCGGCAAAGCCATTCCTCTCCCTCGGGACCTGGGTTTCTTCATCCGGAAAATGGAGACTGGACCCCAGTGTGCTGCTTATTGACCTCAGATTTCTCTCTTCTAACCCCTTCTTCTTCCTTTGGTTCCCTTGTCCAGGGCTTTTGGTTGCTTCTAAGAGTTACTCAGAGCTGGACTGCCTCCGCCTTCCCTTTCTGCCCTCCCAACTCTTCTGGCCCCCCGCAAAAATCCCTGTATTAAATCCTCTCCGTTTGAAGTGCCTCGAGCGGGGTCCCATTTTGACCAAAGCCCTTCCGGCCCCACCAGGCCCTACCTGCAGTTTCTTGAGCTGGCTGTTGACGGTGGCCAGGTCCCCTCCAGGGTCTACGTCTTGTAGCTGGCTTTCCATGTGAAGGAGCTTCTTGTCCAGCTCCGCGAAGCTCTGCACCAGCTGGTCAGCCTTGCTGGCCTCAAAGAGCTGCCGTGCCTTAGCCTGGGTGGTGCTCTCCAGCTCTGCCCAGCACTGCCGGATCTCGCCCAGTTTCTTCCGCACGGAGGCCGCTAGCTCAGGCTTCTCTTGCATCAGTTGCTGGCCCTCCTGTTCCAGGTGAATGGGTAGCAGGAGAGGAGGGGGAGGGACGGTCGGTGGGGAGGGACAGAGAAGGAGGAGCGGTCCAGAACACAGGGGGAAATGTGGGCAGAGAGAGAGAGAGAGGCAAAGAGTTGGAGACAGAGAACGGATGCAGAAACAGGCCAATGGACGGAAGGAATGAGGACATGGGAGGAGATGGGGCAAAAGAAGAGATGGGAACAGACACAAACGGAGGAAGATTCGGACAGGCAGGGAGGGGGAGACCAACAGGAATAGAGGAACAGATGAAGGCAGGGGGAAAGCGAGACGCGAGGACAGAAACAGAGACGTAGGGAAGAGAAAAGGGGAGATGGGCAGTCCCAGGATGACAGGCATACGGGTGAAAGGCCACAAGAGAGAGGAGAGGGGAAAAAGAGAGGAGAGAGAGGCAGAGAGAGAATGAATTCCCAACTCAGGCTCAGGGATGCTGCCTGGGCCCCACACCCACATTTAAGGGCTTGAGATTGGCCTGAGCAGATCCCACGTGACTCAGGAGGTGGGTACCCAGAGAGACAAGTCCAGGTGTTCAAAGCATAACAATTTTGAGGGCTCAGAGGGGGACAATCATCAGTCACGACAGAAGTTCAGCTTGCTGGCCCCAGGACACTTATATTACATCCCATATGAATAATGACGAACAAAACAATTAACTTGCTGCCCAGCAGTCAATGCCAACCCAGAACGGCCCCTGTGTGTGTCCCAGACCGAAACTCTTTACCGGGGTAGAAACTCCCGTCTTTCTCCCAAGGAGTGGCTGGTGATTTCAAACCGCTGACCTTGCGGTTAGCAGCCCAATGTGTGACCACTAGGCCCCAGGGACCCTGGTAACAATAGCAGAGCAATGCTGGACCCTAGGTGCCCCGTTTTGAGTTTCAGTCCTTTGCAAGTTCAAGAACCTGGGAGAAAGTAGCTATGTTGAGTATTTCCTGAATTATACAGACAAGCAAGCTGAGGCTTGAAGCAGTACAGGCTCCCATCAAACCCCAGGGTGGGAGGGATTCTAGGTTCGCTCTGACTCCGGCCTTCTTAGAGCCGCCCCTGCTTGTCTCCACAACCTTCCATCTTAAATGTTCCAAAATGGGGTGGGGTAGGCAGAAGCCTGCCCTGGGGGGAGGATGTAGGTGGTTGGGGGGGACCATTGACAACCCTGAGGGTCCACCATGGGGCCACCATTCAGAAGAGATGATGGCAGGGACCCACTGTACAGGTCGGCAAACTGAGGCTCCAGGAGGCCACGTGAAGCTAGGAGCTGCTACACGGGAGATTTGACCCGGTTGAGGGGTGGGGGGTGCTGGGGTGGGGGTGGGGGGCAAGGCGCTGAGGCAGGGCTCCAAGTGGGGGGGCCTGGGGTCCTCACCCTCTCAATCTTCTCCAGCCACTCCTTATTCTGAGCCAGCTCCGCCATGAAGGCCTGGTGTCGTAGCCATCGCTTGTGCAGCTTGTGGCTGTCCTCCCGCGCGCCGTCCCTCGCCATCAGCATTTTCTCGTGGATCCAGCCATCCAGCTGTGCACGACGGGGAGGGGCTCAGCCACGGACCCCCACCCCACCCCAGCCCCTCCCAAGAAGTGCCAGTGTCGGCGTTGGCACCTCCCACCTCCTGTGTGTGTGTGATAGTGAAGGAGGAAGAAGGGGAAAGGCCTTGGCAAGCGATGCCTTTATTGGGGGTGAAGGGACAGCTCAGGCTGTTGCCTGAGGAGGGGTGGGGAGAAGCAAGGAGGGAGGAGACCCCAGAATGCTCAGTCTGTTGACTCCCTTATCCTGAAGGCAGACCTCCTGACTCCCCGCAAGCCCCCAATGGACAGGTCCTGGGACAACCAGCCTCTGCCCAGCCAGGAACAAAGCCCCCTCTCCAAAAACAAACGAGGCCTTAAACCTGATCCCGTCATCCGTAATTCAGTCCCAACCCGAGCCTGGTAGCAACACTTCCAATTCTGTCTTAACCATCCACAGGAAGGCATGACCCTGCCCCATTTCCCAGGGCTTCAAATAAAATCACCTTATGTCAACCTCGTCCCCACCCCCACCCCCCTCCAACAGCCAAACCAATCTCCCAAATAAGGTCCCAACTAATGCCAACTCTAGCTCCCTCCAAGTCTCCCTATCTAGGAGGTAGACCCCGCTTCCACAACCCAGTTCCCCACCTACCCCACCCCCCCTAACCCTGGGGCACCAAACACATAACTTCCCAAACCAAAACCAGTCCTAACCCTTGACCAGAGCCAATCCCCCAAATCCAACACAGGCTGCTTTCTGGCTCCCCAAACTAGCCTACCCCCAATTCTAGCCCCAGACTCCCCAATACACACCTCCCAGGTTGCTTCCACTCCCTGCAAAAAATAATAAAGCTACTTCGATTCCTCCTGCCCACCAACAGAATCAGCTGGCCAGAATGCAGGCACCCACGAGTTGGCCCCCCTCTCAACAAACCCCCCCCTCCCCCATGAGCACTGTCCACTCCCAAACCAACCAGCACCTCCTCTCTTAGCTCAAGCCTGGCACCTGGGCCAGTTAGCTCCGCCCTCTCTTCCAGCCTAGTCACAAGGTCCTGGTAAAAAAAATAAATAAAGCAAAACACCGACTCTGCTTGGAGGTCCCAGGAGGCGCGAGTGCCATCATGGCCAAGGACAAATCCCGAGCCGGCCAGACTCCGCCCCGCGTCCCTAAGCGTGAGCCCTCCAGGGGTGCGGGCAGAGCCAGACCCCCTACACGCACTGTTAGAGCCAAGGCAAGCGCTGAGCCCCCCAACTCGAGTCTTCGGTGCTCCCCACGGCGAGCTGCAAGAGGCCGCCCTTGGCAAGCCCAGGCTCCCCGAAAGGGAACCAGACCCCAGCCTTAGGGCAAAGGCCAACCTCTACCCACCGCCATCCTGGGGGGTGGGATTCTCACTCCCAGGACCTGTCCTGGGAAAGCGCCCCCAAAAGGAGACTGCCCCATCACTGAGGTCAAAGGCCAACAACTACGAAGGAGCCCTCCCAAAGTCAGAGCTCCCCCACACCCAGAGCACATCCAGGTCCTTCACCAAGGCAGAGCCCCCCCCAAAGAAGTGATGCACCCCAAGGAGCCCAAACGAGCTCAGATCCCGTAAGAACCAACGGAAAAACCCCCCAAGGCTGAGAGCCCCCCCCCAAGGCCAGGGAAAATCCCAGTCTCTCGCCATCCAAAGTAGAGCACCCTAAAAAGGTGGAGAGCCCCCTGGACCCCCAAGCAAACCGAGCCTCCTCCCCAGAGTAGCCTCAGAAGTTCCTGCCCCGGGGCCGGCCCCTCCGGCGGGCCCGCACCAGCACCGCGGACAGCTCCCG